ATGGTCAAAAGAGATTATATGGTTTGTGTTACATGTATGAAAGTCTCAGAAATGGGAGAATTCTGTAATAAATCATGGCCAGTGTAACTTTCTAGGATTTTTATGTATGGGATCGGGGCTGGAGGTGGTTCTGGTGCTGAAAGTACCTTCAGGCGCGAAAACACACGTGGGTTCTATTCAGCAAAAGGTACAATGGTCAAAAGAGATTATATGGTTTGTGTTACATGTATGAAAGTCTCAGAAATGGGAGAATTCTGTAATAAATCATGGCCAGTGTAACTTTCTAGGATTTTTATGTATGGGATTCGGTTCCTTTTATTTAATTAATCAATCGTGTTGTACGTATGTCCCTAATAAATAGTTACCAGCTTCTTGTTTCCTTTAGTTTCAACTCACCCTATTTATCCGCTGCTGTTCTCCACGTGAGATGAATTTGGGGTTGGTAATTCTGCCTTGAAAAAGACATGTTCCGTGTTCTGCTTTCCCGCAGTTACAAAAATTAAAGTTCTTCATGTTTTACCTGCCTGGTTTTATTGCTTCGGTGAATCCTGCAGGAAAAGGAGGGGGGTGGGTGGGTTTTGGTTGGTGTTTGTGGGGCTGGGGTCTGAGGAACATCCTTTGATCTGGGTCTGCAAGGTCACACAAAGACCCTTTTCTTACAAGAACCCTTTTTTTTTTTCGTTAAGTGGTGAATTCAGTTAAATACCCTTCAAGATTTAGGAATCCTAAAAGAAACAATTTTTTTTGTTTTTCTTTTTTTTTTTAAAGAACAGATTTTGCTGTGCTGAATTTATCTGAAAAATCAATGTTCTTGCAAATGGCTTATAAACAAATGTAAACCTGAAATGGTTGGTTGTGTGGGTTTTCCCTTTTCTTTCTTCTTTTCTTTTCTTTTCCTTTTTCTTTTTTCATAGAGAAGAGGATTTCCAGAGCACCATGATTTAGTGGAGGGATGTTTCTCTAATGACCTGCTGACGGGTGTCTCTGCTCTCACACAAATGCAGCTTTGGTTGCTTTGATACTTGTTCCAAAACACCTGTAATGGAATCGTTGTGACTATTTTAGTAGCACTATGCTGGCACCTGGCCGGCTGGAGATACTTTGGAAAACAGTCGTGGTGAAATGTTTTCCTCTTAGCCTGTACCCCCCAAATTAGTCTGATACCATCGGGTTCCTCATGTTGATTTTGAAATAATTGACAGGATTTTAAATCTGTGTTTGTTTGAGAGGCTGACCTCGGCAAACCCATGCCATTTGATTGTGCTGTTCTGATTTGAATAATAGCCCCGTATAAAAATGAAAACACTGTGTGTTAAACCTGTTAAACAGTGTTAACTTGTTAAGCTTAATGAGGAGACCTTTGATTTTTAGCTGATGAATCATGCTAGGTGTATATATATATGTATATATATCTATATGTAGTTCTAGTGTTGGGTTGCAAAAGACACACCCTCAGTTAAGTGGTGAATTCAGTTAAATACCCTTCAAGATTTAGGAATCCTAAAAGAAACAATTTTTTTTGTTTTTCTTTTTTTTTTTAAAGAACAGATTTTGCTGTGCTGTATTTATCTGAAAAAAAACAACGTTACTGCAAATGGCTTATAAACAAAATGTAAACCTGAAATGGTTGGTTGTGTGGAATCGGTGTGTGAGCTGCAGAAGATGGACCTCAGAAGTGGAGAAAAGAGATTTTAGCAGAAAGATCTCAGCCCAGCTGTTAAAAGGAGAATAATGATCAACTGACAACGTGGATTAAATGGTGAATTTAGTTAAATACCCTTGAAGATTTAGGAATCCTAAAAGAAACAATGTTGTTTGGTTTTTTTTTTTTTTTTTTTTTTTTTTTTTTTTTAAAAACAGATTTTTCTTTGCTTAATTTTTTTGTTTTCTTCTTTTTTTTCTTTTTTTTTTTTTCTTTTTTTTTCTCTTTTGTTTTCCCTTTTCTTTCTTCTTTTCTTTTCTTTTCCTTTTTCTTCTTTTTTCCCCTTCTCTTTTTTTCCCTTTTCTTTCTTTTTATTCTTTTTTCCCCTTCTTTTTTTTTTCCTTTTTTTTTCCCTTTCTTTCCTTTTTTTTTCCCTTTCTTTCCTTTTTTTTTCCCTTTCTTTCCTTTTTTTTTGGCCGGCTGGAGATACTTTGGAAAACAGTCGTGGTGAAATGTTTTCCTCTTAGCCTGTACCCCCCAAATTAGTCTGATACCATCGGGTTCCTCATGTTGATTTTGAAATAATTGACAGGATTTTAAATCTGTGTTTGTTTGAGAGGCTGACCTCGGCAAACCCATGCCATTTGATTGTGCTGTTCTGATTTGAATAATAGCCCCGTATAAAAATGAAAACACTGTGTGTTAAACCTGTTAAACAGTGTTAACTTGTTAAGCTTAATGAGGAGACCTTTGATTTTTAGCTGATGAATCATGCTAGGTGTATATATATATGTATATATATCTATATGTAGTTCTAGTGTTGGGTTGCAAAAGACACACCCTCAGTTAAGTGGTGAATTCAGTTAAATACCCTTCAAGATTTAGGAATCCTAAAAGAAACAATTTTTTTTGTTTTTCTTTTTTTTTTTAAAGAACAGATTTTGCTGTGCTGTATTTATCTGAAAAAAAACAACGTTACTGCAAATGGCTTATAAACAAAATGTAAACCTGAAATGGTTGGTTGTGTGGAATCGGTGTGTGAGCTGCAGAAGATGGACCTCAGAAGTGGAGAAAAGAGATTTTAGCAGAAAGATCTCAGCCCAGCTGTTAAAAGGAGAATAATGATCAACTGACAACGTGGCAAGTGCTTCTGTCTTGTCCTGGAAATGTAACTATGGCTCAATCAGTTTGACATCCTTTTACTTTCCAGGTAAGAGTTTAGATGAGCAGTTTTGGAGCTCAGAGATAACAGTTTTCAAGCTGTTATTTTTTTTTCTTGAAAGATTATTTTTTTTTCTGTATTTTAAAAATCTTAGATTTTAAAATCTAAGTTTCTATTTAAAGCACTTCTCCCTGGTGTTTGCAGCAGGAAGAAAACACACTTTTTTTTTGAAGGAGGGTCAAGTGTGGTGCCTGTGGCCACCTTGTTTTCCTTTGAATTGCGGTTCCTTCAACCTTTTTCATCATTCTCTTTATAAATTCAAGCTTTTAGTAGCTCACTGTGTATAGATTTTCCTTTAATTTAAACACATTGTAGTTCCTGAGGAGGTAAGTAACTCGTTGGGACTGTAGATATTTCAGTTTATCTGGGTTTTAGTGACCTTTCAGTGCGTCTCAGGCAACCCATTTGTGTTATGGTACTTAGGGCAAGTCACAGCATCCAAAGGAGAGGTGGCTGGTGCAAGAAGAGAGATGGAGTCACTCGTGTGTGTGGTGCCCAGAAGATGTTGGTGCCAAGTATTGGCAGATGCCAGAAAGTAAAATGGAAGGAGCTTATGGTTAAATGATGAGATAAATGGTTCTTGAGAATATTCCAAGTTGGGGGGCAATCCAGACAAGGATCCGCTTTCCCCTTGGGCACCCAGGTGACAATACTCCATTATACGTGACATTAAACCCAGCGTGGGCACTTTCTCCTCAGACCATAAGGACCATTGTCCTCCCAGTGGGAAAGGAGTGCACAGATTTGCTGACCGTTGTACTTTTAAAAGCCTTCCTTAAAATAAATACCACCTTCCACGTGCCTTGCTTCCAGGCTGAAGGCCTTTCTTGTCCATCTCTCTGAAAGGCACCAAGTGAACCCCAGAAATGAGCTGCACCACCCCTGGGTCACTTCTCCAGCAGGTGAGAGCCCTGCTCTCAGCAGGTCACTGCCTGGGATGAAACATGTTCAACTTCTAGACCAAACCACTGTCCAGCTTCTTCCCAGTAGGGAAAACCAGCCTTAGGACATCTTCAATGTCTCCTGGTGGCCACCATCCCTGTCCTTGGTCATCCCAGTGCGTTAAGTCAACGGAGTCATCCTCACCTTATCGCTTTTCATCTTTGTCACCTTGACAAAGCTCAAGGAGATCCCACTAGCACTCAGGTCATGCTGGATCTCTTCTGTACTTTAGATTTCAGTAGCCAAATGTCCTGTGAACCCAACAGAGGCTTCAAGAGTTGAGATTCCCACTTCCAAAATCCCAAGTAGAACTCCCTTTTGCTCCCCTGCTGGTGTTTTCGTGCCCTGAAAAGTGAGTAAACACACCGTATCGTCGCGTCTTCAGCTGATCCACACTCTTGGACCGTGCACCACCTTATCTGCTTTGTTTACTGCCAAAAATAAGCCTATCTGGGAGCTCGCCCCTGGTGGCCCCGCAGAGGTGAAGTGGTTGTGGGGGAGACGGCTGGACTCCATTCTAGCTCCTCTATTGTTAGCAGAAATGACTTTTAAATTCAAAATATTTTGGTTGGATTCAACTCCGTGTTCAGGAAATTGTTTAAAAAGCCAGAAATTTAACTGGTAAATATAGAAAACATGATCTTGAGCTTCTGAGATGGAACGTTATGTGCAACTCATGCCATTTTTGCAGACACTCTAGTTTCTTGTAAGGGTAAGGAGGGATACATTTAGGTTAATTAACTTTCTTAGGTTAATTAACTTGCCATTTATTTGCCGTTATATCAACGGGAGGTTATAAATAAACCTACTATTGATCTGATGCCTTTGGAAAAGAATTCCTGCCCAGCGTGCGAGGCTGATAAGTTGGTGGCTGCCTGACCCCACGTCACGTTTGTCACTTGGCTTGGGGATGGGCTCTTGAGGAGGGGTTCTGTCCCCCCCACCCCCAAACACACCCCCCCTCTGATGGGTTTTTCCTCCCCCCCTTGTTGCTGGATGGTCCCAGCAAGTCCCTAAAACGATGCCCTTTCGCCTCTCTCCGGCAGGAAATTTAATCTCCCCGGTAAATGACACCCAGAGCTATTTTGGAGCTGGGCTGCAGAGGGGACAGCAAAGCACGTCAGCAATTTGAGTGGAGGAGGAGAAGCCAGAGGAGGGGTGGCACAGCCTAACCCCCCGTGGCAAAGCCACCACCGGGGGACTTGGGGGGACCTTCTGCTGCACGTCCCTGCCACCGCTGGGGTTTCTGTTTTATTTTCCTGAAGGGGAAAGGGGGGGGGAAAAACCAAAACCAAGATGATCTCCCCACGTCCTCTCTTCCCCTTTTCCCCCTTCCCCCTTCCTTCATCTCAGTAGGAATCAGCTTTTTCTTATCCTGCCCAGAGCTTGCTTTCTCCTCAGACTCTGAGAAGAAGACTCCAGGTAAGACCTCAACCTTCAGTGGACTTGGGGACGCTGGTTTCCAGCAGAAAGTGGTGGATGTTTGCAGGAGCTGAGGGAGGGGTGAGGTTATTTCTGTGTCAGCGTTACTGGGCTGGAGTATGTCTTGCTTTAGGAATCATATTTGAAGATGGAGCTGAAGACACAGGTGGTAAATCCATGCTCCTTCGGGTTTGAACCGAGTGTGAATTGATTTGCTTAATTGTTTCTGGCCATATTATCAGAAGGATCAAACTCCGGGGAGGAGAAAAGAGAGGAAAAATCAGGTTTAAAGCTGTTGGTTCTACTTGTTATGTTTTGTCCCCAAATTGGAGATAGCAACATGTGTGGAGAGCCTGGAAAAAATATGGTACATGTGGAGAGGTGGCAGCAAGGAGTGTTTTAAAGAGTTTTATGTCTAGGGCGTAATCTCAGTGTGGCTTTTCTCTTTGGGAAGGGCTTTTTTATTTTTCCTCTGAGCTTCCCTCCAGCCTCGACACCAATTCCCACCACAACCCCCCCCTCTCCTCGCATTTCTCCAAATGGCTCTGCCGAGAGATGGAGCGAGATGGAGCTGGACAGCTGAGGCTATTTTCAGCCCTACAGCTCAATGGGGTGGAGTGGCTGTAATGACAATGACGTCCACTCGTTAAAATACAAGGGCTTAGGTCGGAGCCCTCGGTTGCTAATTGTCACCCAGGGGATTCTTTGTCCCTCTGGGAGCCGTGAGCCCGCAACTCCCCCGCGAGAGGAGAGGAAATCACACGTGCTGACACTGGAAGCCCTGCTTCCAGCTTAACGTGAGCGAGTTTGTTTCTCTGCATTAAGCAAAGGATTTAAGAATTGGGATTGTTTTGGTTCCAAGCTGGTTTTATTCGTTTAAAGGGAGAGAAAGGTACATGCACTTCTGTGTGTGTGTGTGTGTGTGTGCGGAGAGGAAAAGTGCCTTTGTGCTGCCATCCTCAGGTATGTAAAAGTTCTGGCCTTCTACACCATGAGACCCATAAAGTAAAATAAATCACTGTGAACCCACTGTGTCTCCAGCTCTTTAAAGCTCCTGGGCTCAAGCTGTCTGTCTTTGCCACCCGAGCAGACACGGGGTTGCACCTACAGCCATGATTCTGCCACAGCCCCTGCCCTCCAGGGCCTGAGTGTTAAACAAAATACACCTGGGTGGAATTTGTGATGAAATTGCTGGAATTTACACCGCTCCTTTTCTGTCCCAAAGGTGGGAAACACGGAATTTTGGGTTTTTTCCCTCCATTTGTCTCCTGCCCCGTGGAACAGGGGTGAGCATCGCTGTATGGCCAAGGCCTTCCCTGTGCTGCTGCCTTTTCTTATGTGTTGTCAGAGCAGCCTGGGTGACTTTAGGTTCAGGAAAAAATAAAAGGAAAAGATGCTGTTGTGGAGTCTTGAGGGGCTGATCTGAGCAGTTTAGTCCTTTAGAAGTTTGTGGGGTTCTTTTGTAGCTCCATCGAGGGGGGAATATTATTGGGGTTTTCTAATGGTTTGTTTGACTCCCTTCTTTGCTACCGGTCCTTGGGGATATTCTGGTTATCGATGAAGGATTAACACTGGGACTATGAGGTGATGCAGGTCCCTTCCCAGGCAGCTGGTGCTTATTTAGCCCCCTACCCTGAAGGTCAGAAATGTAAGATTGTCTTGCCTTGAGCTTACCCAGTTCTGCTGAGGGCTGCTCACTGAGTTTTCCACGTTAGTCCCTGACCTGCTGTGAAATTTCCCTTCGTGTCTCCCGTGGACTCTGGCTTACTATGGAAGCAATAGATGGCAGGGAATGCAAATGAGCCTTACCCTGGGCTGAGTTAGAAGCTGATTTCAATAAGCTTAATTTATAGCAGGTACTCTGTGTCCGACATCTCCTCCAGCGCATGGAGACCCATCCTCCAACCCGCCACGGAAAGCTCTTCCATCTGCTCATCGAATGACCTTTAAAGATGCCAAAATCTGTTGTCCCTCACTGAAGTGGAATTTAGAGTAGCCCAAGCTAAGCTCTGAGCCCAGCTCCTCCGTGGCAGATACTGTTCCTGCTCTGATGAAAGGGGCATCAGATAAATTCTGCCGTCTCGGATTAGTGCATCGGTGCAAATCTCTGCTTACAACTGATGTAGAGACATAATGGACCTGTAGCACTGGGTGTGCTGGTGTGCGTTTCACCCCTAAAGCATGGTGTCACAGCTCGTAGATGTCCATCCGTGCCCATCTGATGTCACCACCCTTGCAGCTGACACCGAATACTTGTGCTATTTCACCCTTGTCTGTTCCCTGGGAGGTTGTTAGAAGGACCAGGGCAGCTGGGTTGGTTACTGCTGTTTTCCCTCAGCAGAACTTTAAACATCAAAGGAAATCTGTACTTCCCATTTGGTGACCCGTCAACTTCCCTTCCCACCCACAGACGCCGTTTCCTGATGTTTGTAGATGGAACAACATCTGCAGACGTGCAGTAATAGCGGTGCTGGTTTGATTTTTATCTCCAGCTTCTGTTTTAGTTGGGTTCTTTGAAAGCTGGGGACCTGGAGATGGGAGGTTCCCTGTGAATTTTACCTTTCCTATAGGAGAGGACGGAGTGCAGGTCTTAGCAGTTGATGTTGTGGAGAAAGTCCATGAGACATGAACTCTTACAGCAAGGAAAAAAAAAAAAAAAAGCCACAGCAACAGCTTGCTGCTTGGGGGAAGAAAAGGTAAAAGAGGCTTGAGAAAATGAGCAACCAGGTGTGGCATGAGGCTTAACGTGGTGTCAGAGAGAACCTCTGTGCTCCTGATCTGTGTTTGGACTTCAGTGGCCTCTTAGGTTTAGCTGTATGCCCTCATGGGCTTTACATCCCCCAGGTTTCTGATTATGCAGTTGTGCTACTTGTGGCTGTTGTGTGTCTTGGGAATGCTTTATGGGGGGAACGGAATGGTCATGGTGGACAGGATTCCTTTTCTCACTGTTGAATTGAATTGAAACGCTTGGACAGAGAATAATCTACCACTCCTGTCCCCTCTCATGCCAGAGAGCATCATCATAGGCTGCTGACTGCTTCTGGAGGTCACAGTGAGGGACCTCTACCTGCTCAGGGGTTGTTGAAAGCTTTCCAGATGCTTCTCAGCATTGACGAAGCAACCTGAAGGCAACCCATCAATCAGAACAGCACAGTGAATCACAGGAGGTCAAGAGAGGGATGGCACCACCATCAAGACTCTCCATCTTCTGATGGCTCTCCTTCTAGGAGTGGTGAGGGTGGTGAGACACTGGCCCAGGTTGCCCAGAGAAGCTGTGGCTGCCCCCATCCCTGGAGGGGTTCAAGGCCAGGCTGGAGGGGGCTTTGAGCAACCTGGTCTGGTGGGAGGTGTCCCTGCCAAGGGCAGCGGGTTGGAACTAGAAGTTCTTTAAGGTCCATTCCAACCTGATCCATCCTATGCTTCTATGATAGGCACCACCTCAGAGTAGTCCAGCAGGACCTGGAGTAGTCCAAGGTTGTTCCTGCCACGAGGGGCTTTCTCGCTTGTCCATGGGGCAGCAGTTGTAGGGCAGGGCCAGAAAGCAGTGAGGAGAGGAGTGTGTTGGAGGCCCTGACAGGTTGCATGGCCACGTGTTAATTCCTGGGCAGTGATTTGATTTATTTGCATTATCTGGCAGGTCTGTGCTCTCGGGTCTCTTTCCCTCAAACATAAACCAGTGAAAATTTGAATGAATAAAGACCGAAGTAAAATTCCAAGTGCTGCTGCTTTGCCTTTGGCGTGCTCAGAAATACCCAGATGGCCTGATGGCTCTCCTGCTAGTAGTGGTGAGGGTGGTGAGACACTGGAACAGGTTGCCCAGAAAAGCTGTGGCTGCCCCATCCCTGGAGGGGTTCAAGGCCAGGCTGGAGGGGGCTTTGAGCAACCTGGTCTGGTGGGAGGTGTCCCTTCCAAGGGCAAGGGGTTGGAACTAGAAGTTCTTTAAGGTCCGTTCCAACCTGATCCATTCTATACTTCTATGATAGGCACCACCTCAGAGTAGTCCGGGTTGGAACTAGAAGTTCTTTAAGGTCCATTCCAACCTGATCCATCCTATGCTTCTATGATAGGCACCACCTCAGAGTAGTCCAGCAGGACCTGGAGTAGTCCAAGGTTGTTCCTGCCACGAGGGGCTTTCTCGCTTGTCCATGGGGCAGCAGTTGTAGGGCAGGGCCAGAAAGCAGTGAGGAGAGGAGTGTGTTGGAGGCCCTGACAGGTTGCATGGCCACGTGTTAATTCCTGGGCAGTGATTTGATTTATTTGCATTATCTGGCAGGTCTGTGCTCTCGGGTCTCTTTCCCTCAAACATAAACCAGTGAAAATTTGAATGAATAAAGACCGAAGTAAAATTCCAAGTGCTGCTGCTTTGCCTTTGGCGTGCTCAGAAATACCCAGATGGGAACACGATCTCTGCTGCAAATGATTAATCACAGAGGGATTACAAGGAGAAATATGACACTGGTAAATGTCTGAGATTAATTGGAAAGGGCATCTGCATTGACTGGGTTTATTCATGCTTTGTCGTCGGTCCTATCGCTTCCAAGGGAGCTCTCCTGGCACTTGCAGAGAGTTACTATTTTTTGGAAGTTTGAACATACGTATAAAGAATCTGAGTTAGTGTAATTATTTAAAAAACTGATTAACGAGTTGCACTGTAGAAATATTAAATCTTGGCCTTTCTGTATGTCCACAGGGCTGTCTTCTCCCTCCAACTCCTAAATCTATTTATCAGCCTAATCTAATCTGAGGCATTTCTTCCCATTTAAACTTATAAAATGTAGTTTATCTAGTGCAGCCTGTCTAAATGGTTTGATCTGTCTGGGTTTCGGATACTTATTGCAACTTCATCCTTGCCACAAGTTAGAATTTCAAGTAGCAAGCAATAGGAAATGGCCTCAAGTTATGCCAGGGCAGGCTTACGATGGATATTGAAGGAGAAATGAATCACAGAAGGGTTTAGATTGGTAGGGGATCTTAAAGATCATCTCGTTCCAACCCCACTG